ACAAGACAAAGCCTTAAATGGAACCCCCGGGGAAATGGAAAGAAAGGAAGGCTGACACTCGTCTATAAGTGGAGAAGATCGCCCAGAATAGAGACGAACCCAGGGCTCTTCACGGTGGCCTATACCCAATATATGGGGTGAAAGATGAGAATGATGATGATAATGAGGATGTGATATGTCTTTTTTTGTCAATGAAATTTCCAACACACTAAGAACAACAGTCCATTAAAAAAATATTCTGACTGAAAGCAAAAAAGAAAGATTGCATAAAAAGACTTAAGTATTGAGTCAACAAATAGTACTATAAAGACATTATTTTATTACCTGCAAAGCAGAAGTGACACGTTTGTTGCCAAATAAGATCACCTGCCAAAAGTAAGTCTACAGACTAATGAGTCTTTTGAAAAGGGGAACAAAGTTAAGGCTTACGTGTCATATACACTATTTATCTCTCGAGGAATCTGTAATATCTTTCATTGTAGCCCAAGTTATTGTTGAGTTTGAACTTTTGCTGTGCAGTTCCTGTATCAAACAAAACTCCTTTTTTTAAAAAGAAAACAGAAGCTCATTGACAAAATATGGGTCGTTAATTGAAAGAGAAAGGTAAAATAGACAAACAGAAACTATGGAGGGAAAGAAAAGACGTAAGAGTAGGATCTGCCAGTGGCGTCCTCCAACAACTTACACACAAAACTTTTGTAATCGAGAGAAAATAAAAATAAATTATATATATATATATATATGTAAATTGGACCTGAAAGCTTTTCAGAAACATCAAGCCATAGACCTGTACCCCTAGACCTTATACAGTCATGGACGCCGGTTTTCGCTCTCTATAAATACTGTTGGGGAGCGTGAATACCATGAGCTGTACCATTATGCACAGATGAAGGGCAAAGCACTCGTCTTGATATAGTCAAATATGCTTGCACAATCCCCCCATGCCCTTCATTTAGCTCAAATTGCGTCACATGGTGGATTCCACTGTGAAGTGGAAACACATCAGAGCCCTAGGTCTGGGACTAAGATACTATAAAACAGGTCTATAGGCCATACCGAAGTGGACTGGAATCTGTCTGTGGTGTAATAAGGGTTAGGCTCTTCGCCACAGCGTGCAGAAAATGTAAGTTGTTTTCCAAACTGGGGAACTCTATGCTATCAAAATCTTAACTTTGTTGATAGAGGCATAAAAAAACATTTACAATCAAATGTGTTAAAAAATTCCAGGACTGATGAAGAAGAATACAATAAATCATAATAATACTGTCATGACAAGGTGAAATCCAGTTACTTGTAAAGTTGAAAGAAATACAGAATGATAATATTTTTCATTCACAAGTACTGATTCACAGATAAAAAACAGGATCTGAATACTATGACCTGAGCCGAATTATTAGTGAACACAAAAGAGACATCTCTTTGAATGCAATTTCTAAAAAATCGTTTCCATCTTTATGGGACAAGTCACTTTTTAAATGCAATTTAATACAAAATTTCTGCATCTTCGCAGTAGATATAAGAGATGGTATCAAAAGTTATCTTTTAAATCTCCAATAAACAGCAATTTCATCAAAATGGAAATTTTGTTTTCTAGTCCTCACTATGTCAACAATGGGGAATAACATTAGGCACAAAAGTTACTTACAAAACCCCAGTGCTGAAAAAAACCCAAAACTTCAAGGGATAAATTGAAATAAAGTGAAATCTCATAGGATCTGAAACCTGAGGAGTGAACTCTCACAATAGAATGCCATCAAAGAAGATGAGACAGCTGATCTTCTGCCTCAGTCACTTCAAACTCTCAATCATATCATGTATAATACACTACAGCTCATCTCCTCTTCAGTATCACACTTGAAGACTAGTATCAATCACATACTGGGTCGTCCAGCTTAATTCCTCTGTTGGCCCATATAGCTTCTCCTGTGGTTTAAAAAGGGGTTGGCCACGTTTCATGTATTAGAACTCTGTGTTTCTTACTGCTGCTAGACCCTCACTCTCTTATTTTGACATGTTTTATATTTTTCAGTCTCTTGACCAGACCACATAGCCCATCAACTCATTGCTCCTGCAATTTTTTCAACTGACTTTTTGCCCATTTTGCTGACATTAATTTACTAAGAAGCATCTGTTACAGTAGGTTGTCTTATTCAAACTGACTTTGCTACTGATGTTTAAAAAAAAAAGTGTTTATATTTGATACTACTTGAAAGGTAACTGAATAAGCTGTAACAATATAGGGGTCGAATGGTGTTTTGTGTTGATGAGTTTCATCATGCATACTGTCACAATTATCCATTAAATAGACTGATACACAGAAGAAATGCTTTCATGTAAATCATCTTTGCAGCAACACTACACAAGTAAGTATTCCACTACATAATTTGTTCAGTAATTTGGAGACAATGAATTACATGAAATGCTTCAGTAAACCGTAACGCACTCTCCACTCACAGAAGACCTCTAGACCTACAGGCAGCTCCAGATCCTAATCTTGTACTAGATCTAATACTTGCAGTCGTGCTAGGTTTGTTAATATTGCTAGCACTAGATCTAGCTTCGGGTAAGTTGGGAGCTATCGAATGATTCATTTCCTACCTCTGCGAGAGTACCGTACCACGCCCACTCAAAATAGGTAAGTTCCATCATTGTTGCCAGCATTGTAACTGTTATTCTCATTCTCACCAGTTGCAAATTACTACTGAAGTCTTGGCCAGTATAACCCACAATATAATCTGAATAAAAAAGCATATCTCAGTGGCTTCGTGGACTGAAAAGGGTAATGGATGCTTTTGTTTTGAGTGAACCATTGCTCTTCAACATTGTTGCTAATGGAAACAAATTTTGATTGACACTTTGGATTTTTTAAAAACCATGCTAAATTCTCATTAAAAAGCCAACTCATTACGAAATTAGCTATGGCGCTTCCAGTCTTGACCCAAATACATTCGAATATCCCAAAATATAGCCGAAAATGGCAGAAAAAAATAATTTGAAAAACAATGACTGGGACATTCCCCCGCAGAAATTGTATTCAGGCAGTGACGACCGAGTAGTTGCACTGGACAAAATGAGAAAATATGGGGGAACATCATACTGAAGAAAAGTCTATGAATATCTTCCTTACCCTTGACTGTCTCCTCAGTCAAAGAGCAAAGGCTGTCTCCACATTCACAAGAAATTTCAGTGTTTTACATCTGATATGAATCCATACATATATATATATATATTTACACAGTATTTTTCTAAACCTAGTTGATCCTGCTCCATAAACACAAAAAAGACACAAGGGGGTAAAAAGGGAACAAGCGAAAACTAATTTGATCTTTTAAATGAAATGTATACACGTATAGGCCTATCACTATACATGCATGACCCAATAGTGTAGTAGTACCGAAATTCACAAGTGAATGATACATTTTCCAAAAGTCAGTCATTTATTAGATAATGGTTCATTTTTGTCTTTCTGACAAATTCGCATTTTCAAAATCGTTAAGAAAGAATAGAAAAACAAAACATCCAGATGAGGAGACAGCTTCAAAAACAAAAATGGAAATGACTGACTGTTCTGAGTTAAAGCAAAGTCTCACGCAGTCCAACAATCTGTTTAAACAATAATGTAAATGGAGAAGTTTTACATCCCCCATTGTCACAACCTAAGTCTATTTAGATGGCAGGCGTCGACCCTGCCTGTCAAGCCCAACCTAGGCTGACAGGGCTACAATGTTACGGCAGACCGACGGGGATACTTGAAGAAAATTCTCCCCAACTCAGGACTTGAACTCTAGCCTTCCATGTGCAATAGCAAAGTAAGTGCCTAATTGCTACACCACAATCACCAGTCAACAATCTGAGAATGTGTGGGATGAAAGGAGAACACAGCAGATTCATAAATTCCTGTTAGTAGCATTTCATCACTAAAAAAACCTCTCTCTCTCTCTCTTTCTCTCTCTCTCTCTCTCAAGGGGGCGCCAGGTCTGGAACAGACATTGGTGATCATGGCTCTCCAGTAAGTCCTCTATTCAGTCATCCTCAAAAACGTTGCCGTTTCCTCATTATTTCCAGCAGGGCAAATTTTTTTTTAGCTGCACTGCAATAGCTTTGAAAGGAGGTTTATGGGACAAAAGATGAAAGATTCTAAATCTTTGATAATAAAATTGTTTGGATCATGTAAATCTTTGACTTTTAAAGAGGACCTCAAAATGACAGAAACCACTCCCAACTATCAAGACAAAATAATTTGGTGCTGTTAATGTTGAAAAAAACCTCCCAAACATGTCCATCATAAAAGGTGTTAACAAAGTCATGCTCAGGTGTGAGCTCACGTCCATCAGGGCTAATATAATAAGCCTTTTTCAAGGCAGAAAAAGCATTTATGACATCACCATAGCATGATTGGTTAATACCTGTGGTGATTGGGCAGCAATACATGATGAAGTTAAAGTAGTTCAAGCTTCAAAACCACAAACATATTGACTATGTGCGCATATTTCCCAACAACACATCAAAGATATATTTATATATATATATATATATATGTATACATCATAAGAAGCAACACTGTTTAAGGCCGGGTTATGCAATCACATGTATGACTGGCACAGTTGAGCCAGTGTCATGTACAGGCTCTCTAAAACAGGCAAAACAAAGAGAAAAAATAATTTTTGTGTAAAGGACACCCACACAATCATATGGGTTCCACACATAGGTTCATTGTAAGTCTTCAAACTTTCTTTTTCATAGTTTTAAATGAATAATAACCACGAGTCTCACAATAAAAATTTGATACTCCTCTCAACCCTTCTCTACAGGGCAAGGGGAGGAAAAAAATTACAAAAACTTTTGAGTTGCTCATTTTTTCGTGTTGTCACAACAAAACAAAACCTCTCACCATCACCATAAATCCTTGACATGTATTGATCTTTATCACAGTCGCCACATAATATATGGAAAACAGAAATTGTACAACGAAAACAAAAAGTAGAAGTATAACACCCCCCCCCCCACAACCAGAATATCTTTGCATATCATGATGAACACACCTGTCATTTTCTGTTCCTATAAGATATAGCTGTAACCCATGACCTCCATGGCGAACCCACAGGTTGCCAACAAGGTCAAGTAGTTCTAGAAATATGGGTTGAAAGGGGGGGCTATACGCTACTTTTACTGGAAAAACAAACCAGTATGGTGGTAATGTGTGGGCCTCTCACGTCAGGAATGCCTAAATGTTGCGGAGAGGTCACGAACGGAAAACTCTGACCACTCTGACGACATACTGTCGGCAAATCGGGCAATCGGCGAGACGCTTTCCGCACTGAGTGCACGTGACCATGTGGCCGCACTCTAGCAGAATACAGTCCACCAGGGAGTCCATGCAAATGTGACAAAGATCATCTGTGCGACTGAGAGTAGCGTCGCCGGCAGAGGTTTCCGTCGTTGCAACAGGAGGTTTTGTATCGGTAACATGAGTCGCGCCGGTAGACGCACTATCCGGTTCTTCTGTGGTTTCACCAGACGGGCCTGGGTTCGAACCTGAAGTGGTGTTGTCCTCAGTCACGGCCGAAGATGATGCTGCCTCATCGGACACTGATGGTGCTGCCGTTTTTGAAGGTGAGCTACCTTTGTTTGGTGGTTCTGATGATTTTGATGGTTGTTGTTCCCCTGGTTTTTTCTCGGTCATTTCGTAAAATTCTGAAATAGAAATTTTCCATTAAGTTGAGGCATTTTCAGAATGTATATTTTTTTCTCAGACATTTCGGTAAAACTTTTGAATAAACATTTTTGTGTGTGTGTCAATACATTCTTTCTCTTTTCTCACATATTTTTGAGGTGGTATCGGTCATCTAGTGGTTAGGCTACTGGATTCATAATCATGAGATTGCAAGTTGCGGGTTCCAACCTCAGCTCCATCCAATTTCCTATACTTAGCTCAGTCCTTTCGGAGAAGGACATTAAACTCAGAGGTCCCACCTCCTAAATAAACTAATAGTGTTGATAGGGGTGGCAAATCTATACAATCTCCCCCCCATTTCATAAAACTCAATGATAAGAGAGTTTATTAAGTGAAAGCATTTTCTGCTCTTTTATTCTCACATTTTCCGTAGAACTGTATAATAATTTTTTTTCAGACAGTGAAAACATAAAATTAAAAAAACAAAAAAACATTTAGTATAATTTTGTGAAAAAGCTTTTCCAGTAAATGAAAGAGTATTTTTTTTCTTGAAACATTAGGCTTGCACCGCAATCAAGCATGCTTAAGTACAAGCTGGGCGATTATTGCTTCCTGTCTCTTTTACCTTTCCTATCACAACTTAAGTGCAAATATTGACACAATACCAATACAGTAGCTAGTGATAATGTTATTCTCTATACCTCTTAACCCTTTGAGCCGTGACCTCCTGAGGCTCCCTGCACCCCTCTACCTGAGCTCCTGAGCGATATATATTATTAACATTCATAGGATTGTCAGAATCACATTCCATATACCCATTCAGGGTAGCCCTCGTCATTACCAGCATCTAATTCAGGAAAGATCTTCCAAATAATCAATAATGTCTTGAGTAGTAAATGCTGTTTCCCGTATGTGTTTTGTCTCAGGCGGGCCGGGTTGGGCATAGAGTCTCGCTCACTGCTGTTCCGGTTGCTCGACATACGAGAAGTTTTATGCGCCACACGTGTACCGGTGGCAAGGGCTCCAAGGGTTAATGTCTCACATTCAGTTCCTATACAAACCAGTACTTCAACAAGCAAACTATTTGCCTTTCATTGTTTAACTGAAAAAGTCTTAACTCCTCCACTGAATCAGATTCACTAAAATGAACGCAGATCAAGATTTTATAAAACCCACACCAAACGTTTGGTTGTTTTTTTTCCCCCATGGTCATAAGTAAAATAATGATAGACATCACTGATTAGAATTCTGCAAGCAGAATCTATCCAGACGACCAAAAAAAAAAGAAACCAATAATCACACAACAACAAAACAATCAAAGTCAACATTAATGATAGAGTCCTGCACATCTCAACATCCTCTGAAAGAGTTGCGACCTACCAAGTTCATCCTCCATTTGTATCCTTTCAGCTGTGGAAAAAGAAATAAAAGAAAACAGAAATTAATATGAGGATTTTTTAAAACTTCTGCTTCCAAGAAACTTTTCCCCCAAAAAATAACAAAAAAGAAAATTAAACTTTAAGTATTTTCTAAACTTTTGCTTCCATGAAAATTTTCAAAGAAAAAAATAAATGAAAAGGAAAATTAGTGTTTGAGCATTTTTTTAAAACTTCTGCTTTCATGAACATTTTTACAAATAGAGATCTCACCATCATTGCCTTTCACCCCTGGCAGGAAATAGGCCACATACAAGCTCCTTCTATTTATCTCTGTCCTAGGCCATTCTTCCAAGCTCGTTCCAAGTGAGCTTCATCTCTTTCATGTCCCTTTCCATACATCTCTTTCATGTCCCTTTCCATACATCTCCTCCATGTTTCCCGTGACCTACCACTGCCTCGTGCTCCCTGAGGGTTCCACTGCAGCGACTGTCTTGAGATGTTTCCCCTTGGCCTTCTTAAGGTGGGTCCCATCCATTGCCACTTTCTCAGTCCTATTTCTACTTCTATATATCCTTTTGTCCTGTCTTTTCCGACAGCTCTTCATTTCTTATTCTATCCTGCTACTTTAATTCTTTGGATACTCCTCATACATCTGTTGATGAAAGTCTGGACTTTATTCAGTACTGTCTTTGTTGTCTTCCAAGTTTCACGGCCGTAGAGGAGCACAGACTTGAAATTGGAGTTAAAGAGTCGAATCTTGGTGCACTGTGAGATGTTGCTTGCTTTCTAGACTTTTGAAAATAGATTGAATGCTGACCTCGCCTTGGCGGTTTTCGCTTTAACATCAGCCTCGGTTCCACCTTTACCATCGATGACACTTCCAAGGTATGCAAAGGAGTCCACTACTTCCAGGGGAGTGTCTTCCACTGTCATAGCAGGGCTTGAAACTTTTTATTCACCACATGTCCAAAGTTAAATAACCCCACAAAACCCGCACCCACCTTTCTTTTTGTTCTTGAGGTAGTCCACCCACAAGCGCCGAACCCTCTCCACCAACTCTGCCTTCTCGCAGCAGCCTCGGAAGTCGACAAAGTTGTTGACTAGCAGTTCCTTCAGCTGCCGCACGCTCAGACCTTCAATGTCGTCCTCCGTGCCAAGGTCGTCTAGGTGAGCTCGTCGCACGGGCTGGCCAGCTGCCTCTTCCTGGAGAAACACAAAGCACCGGGTTTTGGTTCGGGGTCAGCATAAATAGGTCGAGGAACATACAGGTTAGGTTTGGGGTCAGTAGAAATAGGTCAAGGAACATACAGGTTAGGTTTGGGGTCAGTATAAATAGGTCAAGGAACATACAGGTTTGGTTTGGGGTCCGTAGAAATAGGTCAAGGAACATACAGGTTAGGTTTGGGGTCAGTAGAAATAGGTCAAGGAACATACAGGTTAGGTTTGGGGTCAGTATAAATAGGTCAAGGAACACAAAACATGGGTTTTGATTTCGGGTGAGTACAAATAGGTCAAGGAACATGCAGGTTTGGTTTGGGAACAGAATAAAGAGGTCAAAAGAACGAGCAGATATGTTTTATCTGATTCAGTAATAGTTTTACCTCACTTGCAACATACTAAGATCATATTAGAGCCGAAGACTATAGGTGTTACAAGAGAGTAACAAACACAAAAAAAATGAAGGAGAGACCATCCATCCCCTAAAAATTATTTATAGAGGCACCAGCCAACAATGTCCAGGTAATTTTAGCCAAAAGAGAAATAAGGATAAAAGACTGTTCGATATTGGGGTCAGCATAAATAGATCACTTCTAAGGCAGTAGAGAAGCAAGCTCTTGGTCCTGTAATTAGTTAGAGTGAATCAGATGAAAAACAAAAGTATTTTTAGCAACAACTGTAGCACTTTCATGGGGAAGGAAAGACTTGAGGACACTATTCAATTGCGGCAATAGTCACTTGCACAATAGTATCTAAAAAAAAAAAAGATAATACTTTATTGTGAAAGTAGGAAATTTTCTGTGGCTGTACAGGAATGGTCAAAAACACATGCAGACATACATAGAATTTAAATTGTTTATTGCTTTCAAAAAAGAATTTCAGTATGAAGATAAAAATCAAGCTGGCATACAATATGTCACATACGATGCATCTCTCTCACCACATGTAGGAATTCACAATAGATTTTGAAAATATATAATATACTATGGTCATAGGGCTTAGTAAAAGAGGCAGTAAATGCAACTTGCCAGAGCACCCGAGAACCCAAAGTCAACACCAGGAATGAATGGATTTCACAGGAATCTAGACAAAGTCAAAAGAAGAAGAGAGCTGAAGGCCCAAGTCAACAACAGCCGTACCCGAACTGAGAACTAGCTACACAACAAGAGTACACGGAAGTAAACCGGGAGGTAAAGAATTCCATCAAGAAGGACAAGAATACCTACCTGAATGGCCTGGCAGAAAAGGCAGAAAAAGCAGCAACAGGCGAACACTTGCGAATTGTACACCAGACAGCAAAAAACTCTTTCAGGTAGGTTCAGCAAGCCCACTCTACCAGTGAAAGACAAAGAGGGAAAGACTATCTTCAACCCAGAGGGGCAACTTAACCGATGGAGAGAACACTTTGATCAACTCTTAAACAGACCACCTCCAGAAAACCAATCAGAAATTCTTCCAGCCAGAAATGACCTCCAAATAGTTACGCAACCACCTTCGAGAGAGAAATTGCGGAAGCTATAACATCAGTGAAGTCCCGCAAGGCAGCTTGTCCAGACCATATACAACCGGAAGCCCTTAAGGCAGATAAAAATACATCAGTGGAAATTCTCTATGCTCTATTCGAAAAGGTTTGGCAATAGGAGGAAATACCATCAGACTTGAAGGAAGGCCACCTAATCAAGCCACCAAAGAAGGGAGACCTCAGCAATTGTAACAACTATAGAAGCATAACACTCCTGTCCATATCTGGGAAAGTCTTTAACAGGATACTCCTGGAGAGAATCAAGCTGGCAACAGACGAGAAGCTCCGAGGAAACCAGGCAGGATTCTGCAAGAACAGATCATGTGTGGACCAGATCGCTACTCTGCGCATCATTGTTGAGGGATTGCTTGAATGGAATTCACCACTCGTGGTCAACCTCATTGATTATGAATAAGCATTTGACAGTGTGGACAGAGAAACTCTTTGGAAACTCATGCGGAACTACGGAATACCTGAGAAAATCGTCAAGCTTGTGTAAGCCACCTATGATGGAACAAACTGCCAAATCTTCCTTTAAGGACAACTCTCAGAATCATCCCTCTACGGCTGCGAAATTTAGAAGACAACAAAAACATTACTGAATAAAGTCCAGACTTTCATCAACAGATGTATGAGGAGTATCCTAAGAATTAAGTGGCAGGACAGAATAAGAAATGAAGAGCTGTCTGAAAGGACATGACAAAAGGATATAGAAGTAGAAATAGGACTAAGAAAGTGGGAATTGATGGGACCCACCTTCAGAAAGCCCAGCGGAAACACCACAAGACAGTCGCTGCAGTGGGAACCCACCTGGAGCACGAGGCAGTGGTAGGTCACGGGAAACAAGAAGGAGATGTATGGAAAGGGACATGAAAGAGATGAAGCTCACTTGGAACGAGCTTGGAAGAATGGCCCAGGACAGAGATAAATAGAAGAAGCTTGTATGTGGCCTATACCCTGCCACAGGTGAAAGGCATTGGTGATGATGATAGGGGCTTAGATAAAAAAAATCAACAACAATACACATTAATGTTCATTCCATCAGCAGTCTAATTGCAGATGGTAGGAAACTTCTTTTGTTTCTTTCTTTATTTGTTCTTGGTGGTTTGTATATGCTTCTGTGTGATCTTGAAACTTGCGAATAAATAAAGGGAGTGAGAAGGGTCGTTTAAAATGCTGTTAACCCTTTCATTGGCAGGAGGTATGAGTTCCACTGTCAGCACTGATTTTCAGCAAAGCTCGTTTCTCGAGACAGCAGCCCAGTGTCTCAGTGTTAATGGACACGCGGTCTAGATCTATATCTGGAACTAGTGCACTCGTGACATATTCTGGACATCGGGTCTTCGATTGTCACTTTTCTTAGTTCCCATTTCCTCCAATCTTACTCAAAATTTCGAAGAACCTGCAAATCTAAGTCAAAAAGTGAATTTATTTGACTTTTAAAAGTCATTTCGATGTTTAAGTTTTACAAGAGCAAGTGGCCGCCCGCGTAAAGTAATACTAGCAAATTCGACACCGATTCGCACGTCTTTCATTCCTGAATACGAATCTACGGAGGGCTTGTGGCTAAAACTCCATACAGAAGAATTAGAGCCAGGTTATAAGCATGCCGTACATGTAACGTCAAACAGGCAACTAGGAGCAGCAAATTTTGCCAACTTCCGTAACGTACATGGTACAGCATAGCCCTAAAAATATGCATTTTCATGACGTACCAGGTACATTATACTATAAGGGGGGGGGGGGGAATTACAGTGAATTATAGGCGATTTCCAGGTTGAGAACCATAGATACGGGGTACGTGGAAGCAGAACCAATAAATTGGCAAAAAAAGAATATTAATCCGCAGACAGGAAAAAGAGGCTAAAACAGCACCTGGACATGGATGGCTGGTGCCTCTATAAATAAATCATGGATGGTCAAGTTCATTTATGTCATAAGGCAAAGAAGGGGTTAAGGGGAGACGTACACTCCCGGAAAATTTTTCTAAACGAATGACTTTTATTCAAAATCATGTAATTGTGCAAGAAGTTCATAGGTAAATAGGATGTACTAGGGGTGAATTTGTACAATTTTTCTGAAAAATGGGTCTCTGTGGCGGCCATCTTGGAATTTCAAACCAGTTTCTTAGTGCAGACGAATTTCATAGTAAATATTGAATTATCACCCTGAAATTTGGCACACAAGTACAAACCTATATGAACTATGGATCTATGAAAGGATTTTGACCTATCTTTAAAACTAAAAAAGTGAGCCCAAAGTCATTGGGCCCCCTAGAGTCAGTTGACGAAATTTTGGGGTACATATTACAAAAAAATTGAATATTTCCTCAAGTTACCAATATTTCCCAATTCCCTTTCATAGATCCCCAGAATTGATCTTAAAGCACCTTTACACCAAATTGAAGCTTCTAGCTTCTATAGATTTTGAAAACTCCTTGCACATGTGTCAAAAAGTAGATTTTGAGAAAAACAGAAAAAACAGGGATTTTTTAAAGGATTTTTAGAGCAATTTGCACTTTTCAAACGCCCTTTTAGGTCATTTAGGGTGTTTTTTCAACAGTTTCTTCTAGGCCAGGGCAAGATCGACTCTGGGATCGATTCTCTCGACTCCAAATGAGGACTCAAAGAATCGATCTTGTTCCATGTTCCCAGACTC